TGTAGTGGCTGGATGCAGTACTACAGATGAAAAATGACAGTACAGTGCTACAATGGTTTTTTTTTTTTCACCCATTCGTTTCAAAACATCACAGTTTCGAGATCATAGTTCACAATTTATAGCCCCAGCCAGTAACTGAACCGCCAGTTAAGCATCCAGGTTTGACCCGACTGCTGCAATCTAATCACAGTATGAAGATAATTATTTTGATAAGTGACTTCAGTACACCGCCTTGCGCTATATGAAGAATTAAAACGTCCCAAATTTGTAGGCCTACAGCCTGTAAAAGGAGATATCGCGGTTTTGAGGCTGCTCTTTAATTATTCGCTTTATACTGTATGAAAAATCAAACTCTTAAAAATGCTGGCACACACGGCAACTGCCTACTGACAAGGCTATCGATGGACTCTTTTTTCGAGAGATATTTTAAAAAGCAAGCTAATGGCTAGTTTAACTCTTCAGTATATACAAAATTAACACCAATTTACCATCGAAACGAATAGACGAATCGTAGAAGGACTGGTTGCCCCAGCGGCGTGGCCGAATCCGTGATCTATATTGCAAGAAAAAGTGGTACTCTCTATAGTGCCATGCTCTCAGCATTTATTTTAAATTTTTGTAAAGCCAAATGTCAAAAAAAGGAGATGCTTTGCAGTCAATCTATGCAAAACATATGTGTGTTTATTACTGCGTTTTAAGTCTTGGTTGTTAAATAAGCTGGCACAAAGCACTTATATGATGAATGGCACTGTCACTGTTGCTGATGCTGTTGGTCTGAGGGCTACTTCCTTCTCATCAACACCCGTTTTGTGACAAACTCTTCCGATGTGCAGTACGAGAAAAATTATTGCTTTGATTTCAGTTTTTGGTTCATTTCACTTCAATTTCATTCCACAAGTGCCGTAAGGAAGGAGCAGAAGCGATGCCTCTTCCACGCTAAGCATTTAAAAGTACTCCTGTCTGCTTCAGACAAAAAACATTTCTGCACTGCACTACTTCTGCTTTTTATCAACCGCAAAGCAAATGGAACCTCTTGTATTGCCAACATTCAATACAACGTTCCCTGTCATACGAAATTTTACCCGCACGCTGCAAATTTAAGGAAAAGTACGGATACTCGAATACATGCATTGACGACTGAACATCTTTAACAACAAACAGCAGAGATGTTCGAAGCCTTGAAGAAGCAGAAGAGAAGTTATTGATGATGATAACGAAGATGAGGACGAAATACGGTTATGAAAAATGAGCACTGCAAGGATGACGATGATGGAGAGCTCCACTTAAGATGAACAAATAAAAAACTTCAGATTACTGAGCAGAAGAAATAAAAAGAACAGATTTGAATGGCCGCCAAACAACGCATTTCATACTATGCATCGATAACATTTCGCAGAACACGGTCGGATGTCAAAATGCCTAAGAAAACTTTTGATCCTAAAACTGATTTTGACTCTCTTTGACTTAATTTCACAGTCAGCAGACAGCAGTAATAAGTTCGTAACGACATGGTACACTGCTATAACTTACTCCGGCTTTAGCCAATAAAAAGCAAATTTATGTTACTGATCCCAGAAATTCGAAAAGAAAACGTCATCAACAGACAAGTTTAGTATGATGTTAAATTTTCAGAGATGGTGCAAGAAGTACGAAAGAACATGAACAATGACATTTTGAAATTCACGTTATGACTGAAACATTTCGAAAAATTGTAGGCCAAAAATGTGAGCATTTCATGGATATGATAGCGAGGACAAAGAAAATCAGCCGTGCATACAGAGAAGATCAATTAATGCAACAAACACTGAACATTCTAATACCGAGGTTAAGTTGGTAATACTACTACGTTTCATGGTTTGTTTAAAGTTTTGGAACGGAAAACGATGAAAGTTGCTCCATTACCCTTTTTTGCTACAAACTTCTTGCTCAATTTGGCTCAATTCGCGATAAGTAAAGCTACTGGAGGAGCGAAAGAGGATCGAAAGCAGACGGTAGTGATTTATTTTTACAAGATTTATTAAATTTTTATTATCTGAAACGACTGGCTGTATTTAGCATATTCGCATCTAGCAAATTTGGCATCTTTTGGGTGTGAAAAAGGTGGATAACATTTGATACGTACTTTTAAATCAAAACTGCAGAGGCGCTCTCCGCTTCGAAAAATCTCGAGAAACTCCGCCTTGGCCAGTTCATCCAAAAGACTGCCAAGCCAAGTAAATTAATTACCGAGCTTACAAAAAACAGCCAATGCGCATACAAGCACAACCCTAGCAGAACATCCGTATGATAGAGACAAACACCTGGGCAGCAATAAATGTCTCAGAAAAGCTTAACGGCTCCAATTCTGGAAGCCACAGAAAACACGATTAATGGTTGTTGTGGTGTAGGGAACTGCTGGAGATGCGCCGGGTGTGTTTGCAACCAGCAATTGGTGTTGCGCAATGACAAACCATCATGTGCGCAATTTTGAATTCGATATCGTTGATACATACACTGTAGCATCCTGAGTCCCCGCCATCGGTATCATGGATCACTAGGTAGTGTTTCAGCCCATTTACCACATGCTCCACTTTTGTATCATCCAGGAACTCAATCCGTGCTCCGTCTTTACGCCACACCAGCTCGCGTACCTCATCATTATTCTCTAGCTCGCAAGCAATCGTAGCCGTACTACCTGGTGGTACCAGATATTCACGATAATCATCTTCCTCGCTTTCTGTTCCGCATGCATTGATAGTCACTTCGCGCTCCTCGATCCGTTCTGTGTTAAAAAAAGCAAAGCATTAGAGGGATTAAAATGATTTGAAAATTAATCATTTCAGGTGTTAAAGGTAGATTTTTGTTAATGAAAGTGTAAACTGGAAAGAGGTTTGGCAGGGAAAAAATGAGCAACCGATCATTCCAAACATCAACAGTGCTTACCTTCAACAACAAGTGTAACTGTTGTGAAGTGATCACCCAGAAATGCATAATATGTCCCCTGGTCTTCCAGTTCCGATCTGTCAATGATAATACGGTGATATCCGAATCGATCAGCTTGCAGCCGAATGCGCTCATTTTCGACCACCCACTTTTTGTTATCCTTACACCACTCAACTTTCTGGTCAGTAGCATTAACCTGGCACGAAATGATGGATGGCTGGCCCTCCATTACGAAGAGAGTTTGCGGTGGGCTTAGGAAACGAATATCCTCAGCTATTCTGTCGGATGAACCATCGGCATCCTCAATGATTAAACAGGCAACAGGATAAACGACGTCGTTTACTCTTATGCTGTAAACGTCACCATCGCTGACGTCAACATGCGAAATTACGAGAACCTCCAGCAAATCATGACTTATGCGATCTGTCTTTCCAGGCTCAATCTGAATCATTGCTTTACCCTTGAACCAATCAATGACACTTCCTGGGGACAAAAAATTGTTAAATTCGCAGGTGACGGTTGCAGTTGAGCCCTCCTTTATTACGTAACTCGGTACATTAATATTTTGCCAACTATCGTAACGATCTCCAAATTCGGATAAATCGAAAGAGTGCTGCGATGACGATCGAATCGATTCATGTGAGCGTAATGATCGCTTCTCGGTTTCCGTAGATTCTGATACAGTAACGTTTTGGATAAGAGAGCTTTTAGCTTCCGAATCGCTAACTGACTGAACCATATCTGATTGCAAAACGATATGCATAGAAACTTCGCCCCAAGGTATTTCTTCAAGAGACGCGAGTGCAACGTCGTACATGCTTCGTGCTGCAATGCTTACAGAAACCCCAGTGCATCGCTCGGTATCTTCACCAACATCACAAGGTTGCTCCGGTGTTGGCTTGCGTTCCTCGATTCCACTGACAGGGAGCTGTCCTGCCTGGTAAGAAAGAACTGCCTCATACTGCTCATCCTGCGTTAGAGATAAGTCAACATCGATTGTACATGGGAGGAACAAGTCAAGACTTATTGAATCACTCATTTGGTCCAAAATTTTTATTGTGAAGTTTGATACTTCGTCTGGCTGCTCAATCAGAACATCAAAATCCTCGCCTAAAACAGTAGACGCCTCAGCTTTAGCCCGCACCTCCGGAGACAGTACTGCCAGTACTTTCAACTTATTTGAGCAGCGCTTGTATGCTACGCAAATGTTAGTTTCCTCGAAAGGCATTTCACTTTCACTTTCATTTATTAGAATTACTCGTTTCTTGTACTGATCCAGGTAATTTAACTCGTCAACATCGTCGTCGTCGTCACTGGTATCCAACGTTGGTGTAAGGCAGTCTGTTTCATCTGTCGTCATAAATGCTGTTTCATGGACAGTTGAACCGCTTTTTAAGTGAAAACTGGCACTTGGCGTGCCAGCGGTAATTATAGTATTGGTACTGATATTCATCAATGAAGTCGTATTTTTAGAACTTTCGCTCCCTTCCATTATCGTTGGCAATACATCAATGACGTTGGCGTGTGGATTACAGATCACCATCGTGCTTTCCATCTCATCCAGAGTTTCGTCGTTATCATCATCGATTGATTCAATGTTATGCAACGAACTAGCATCTTCTTCTGACGGACTGATCACTGATGATGGTCTTACTGGTTTCAGATCTGATAGTTCTATAGACTGCTTTTCAGTATATTTGAAATCTGAAGTTCCGGAAATGTCTTGTGTCGAATTTTTCATTATGCTCAAGCTCTCATCCCGTTTTTCGCACACTTGAACTGAGTTTCGTGCAGCAAGCATGCTGGAATTTCCAAGTGGTTGAAAAGAATTGCAGTTCTGCTCAGCTGAGCCTTCTGTTGAAGCATTAGCAAGTGTAACTTCTTTATTTGGATTATTTGCTGGTAATTTATTGATTCGACTAGCATTTGTTCCTTGCAGTTCTGCAGTTGAAGCCATAGCAATTGGACTGTTCAACTCGGTCGCAGCGGTGCTTAAGTTCGGTAGCAAAGCCAACCTATGCAAAAGCAGCTCCTCACTGTCTTCGGAAACAGAACATGTGTCGAAGAACAAAAGTGAGTTCGCATCTAGCTCTGGAGCATAATCGGAATCTTCGCAAATGAGCTGCACCGAGCTGCATTCGTCGAATGCCTCCAACGAAACACACCATTTCGTTTGGATCGTCCATGTGTAACAGCAGTCGAAAGTGCACTCATCCTTCCGAATCTCTTTTTCAAGACTGATTGTAATTTCATCTACTGGTCTCATATTTTGCGACTGTTTTGAAAGCGCAACCTCGTCTGGCTTTTTCTGAACCATTGGTTTTGCATAAGGCACTGCAATTTCAGACAACACAACACTGGTGGTGGTCAGTTTGTTCAGTTCGTTACGGTTTTTCGGAACATGGGCTGAGGTAGTTTGCTGTAACTCTTCTTTTCCATCATAAGAATTCTTGAACGATACGGTACCTACGACACCAGAAGACGCTTCTGTACATCCACTACATGATTTCACGCGGTGATGTTTTAGGCGAGGTGGAGGAACGGGAGTCTGAAAATCGGTCTCTTCCTGTGTGCTACGTGTTCTTCGTCTCCGAGGCGGAGGTACTGGGATTGCTTCCAATTTCTTGGTATTAGCTGATGATACTTCCGTTGCTGATTTAACGAGCATAGATGAAGGAAGCGGTTGTCCATTCTCAGCAGCTGAAGCACCCGAGGAGAACTGATACGATACCGGGTCGTTTTGATTCACGTTCGCAAAGGACTTTTTACTTGTGTCGTCAATTTTTGGTACATCTCTTTGAGCTACAGAAGCTTCAGAACTTCCACTCCTCTTATTCTGATTTTCGGATTTGTCTGTAGCACTGCGAAGCATCACAATTGCATTGATGATTTCCGCTTGACCTGGCTTTGCTAGATAGAAGTTCACTGAAGCATCTGTCTTGAAGAAGAAACCTGTCTTAGAAAGTGGCGAGAGAAAATGGGGGTTAATAGCCCGCTTCGCTGATTCCATGCGTTCAGTGCTGGCCATTTTCTGACTTCTTTTGGTCGGCATTTTCTTATGCAACCTTTTTTTACTCATAAATATAAGATCAACCACAGATGACACATTTTTACGAATTTTATGCAAGACATTGATTGCCGCATCCACGCTTCTCCGCGAAATGCTTCGATGGCAGAATTCTTTAATGATATTAATTTCACTGTTGATTTGCATTAGGATGTTGTGCACCTCACGCTGCTTTGTATCCAAGTAAAACGGCACGACAGTTTCAGCGTCAAAGGATAGTTCGCCGATATCAGTGTCCTCTTCTTCGTCTTCTACAGCTTTTTCCAACATAATTTCAAGCTCTTCAAGTTGTTCTTTGATGTCAGACGTTAACGGAGTCATACGTAAAACTTCTTGTTTCTCCATCTCCTTTTCACTTGGCTGGATCAGCCTTAAATTCAAATCTGACATGGCGGGAAGATCTTTTTCCATTAAACTCTCGGTCCAGGTCTCAGAAAGAGTTTCTTCGTGCTGGGAACTTTTGGTTTCGGTAAGTTGCACAGACTCTGTAATTTGCGCCAAAGGTGGATGTATCGGCAATTCATTGCATTCAAAGTCACTCATCAATGCAACTTCAATGTCGTTTAGTTTCTCTCGAAGTAGTGCAATCGGCTTTTTGTATGCTACCATAGCTTCCTTCACACTTGTCACTCCGGGGGTTACAATGATATTTTCAAGCATCGTTTTCAACAGTTCCTCACTTGCCTCGGCTTGTGCCTCAGTGACGGGCTGCTGGCGTTCAAGCTGCTCCGAAATGTCAAAAATTGCGCGCTCGATTTGTAATGCTTCATCAATTTGCTCTGTGTCATCATAGCCGACTTCTCGTGCAGCCTCTTCGACTGCATTTATATTCAACAAGATTTCGTCCGTTTGGTTACTGTGAGCTGTACAGCGCTCATCTTTCAAATCCCACGAAACTGCATTTGAGGCGCTGCTAATGGTTTTGCGATTTTTTCCATTAAAACTGTTATTTCTTTGTGCAGCTGAACTGTTTACATTCAACTGGGTAGAGAAAGAAGCAGTCAGACTTTCGGGAGGGCACTGCAAGCTGGGTTTTATAGGATCGCTGAAAACTTCGAACTCTTCTCTGGCATTAAAGAATGCTTCAGTCTCAATGTTTTCTACAGAAGCTTCAAGGATCTGTAATGCGTCTTTAGTGCTAAACCTAGTATCTAAGTCTTGACTCCGTATTTCGTACGCACAGTTGTCATTTGCTTCATTCAGTCCCATGTAACTTTCTGGCTTATCGAATTTTTCCTTTACAACATCCTCCTCATCGCATCCATTTTTACATACACGTGCTGCTGATGTGGATGCGGGTGAGATGCTTCTTTTGCTGCGCAATATCACTGTTTGTTCTGTAACGGTTGAATTACTGTGATCGGGATTTTGCGGAGTAGCGCTTTGATTTTTGACTGTTTCATCGCATTGTGTCTTGCGCCTAGATGACTCTTCGGTAGAAAAGTCACCGACAATCGCTTCGCCTACTGTTGCACTGCTGAGTCCTGTTACGCTTGTTTGCTTGCAGCCTTCTTGAATGTCTGAAATAGTAAGAGGTGGTGATGGCCCAAAATCAATTAGTGTGTCCACATATTGCTGTATTGCTGCCAAACTAGCGCTGCTTAGATTTGCATATTCATCCTTCCATTTCAAAATAAACGAAGCATCTTCGGCTTCACATGCATCATTTTTCAGGAGGAGGTCAACATCCATTTCCTGACCTTTGTATGTGAATTTCGGAGGCAAAGCAAGAGTTCTTGGTTCCATTTGTTCATAGCGCTGCTTAAATACCGTTCTGTTGTCGTCTGAGCTCCTCGCCTTGGTGACTTTAAATTTCGTCTCCAAATTCAGGCGTGGCTTCGCGTGAAGTAGCGTCGCGCTAGTTTTGGCAATCGCATCATCCCTTTCAACCACAACGTCAATATAGCAATGTAAGCTGCGCCCGAGATAACTGCTTTCTGACGAACCTCTTTTCATTAAACACTTTGTGCAATCGATGCAACTACAACTGGAAGTTTCACCAGTGCAATTTTCACGAAACTGTAGGCGAACTTCCTGTCGCCAGTGCAATTCCTTGTCCGACACGGAGGCGCTTTCAGGCCTTTTTAACAGCAAAATTTCTTCCCATGGTTGGCACTCCGCAAGTGAAGTGGCTTCGTACGCCGGTAATTTTGCAGCCATCAGGATGCAGGCAGCTTCCTCTGCTTGCTGTGGCCGAGAAATCTGGACAGCGGCCCCAGTATCCTGTGTCACGCGGTACTTGATGCACTGCAATTCGCCATAAAGCCAGATAGTATTGCACTGCATTGCAGCGCTTGGCAATGACACGGAAACGTTGAAACTCCGCTCTTCAGATCCGAGCTGCTTCTGGTATCCCTTTTGTGGTGTTGTGTACTGGGTAACAATTGCTATTGTTTCGGCCAATGTCGGTATTTTTTGGACGAATTCATAATTAACAACAGCAACAAGTTCCCCTAGCGGAGAGCTAACACTAGTACTGCTGTTAGCACTAAATACAAAATTAGCTTTATCACTCGGGTTTGAGTGATATAGGGCACTAGCGGAACGAGTAACCTCCCAGGACACCGCATCGTCGTTCTGCATACTACTTGCCTGCACTGCTTGTCGATAATCCAAGCTTTCAGAGAATGCTAAAATTTAAGTACAGTAAGGTCAGTGCTTTTAGCTCGATCTATTTTGAAAATGTTAGATTAATTAGTAGTAGGCACTGAAGAAGGATTAGCTGCCAGAAAAATTTTTGCCAGCATGCTTGTTAAAAATCACAGGATTTCGCTGAGCTGTAATGCTAGCTGGAAATATTCACTGAGTTTTTCAAAAAAAACCATCGTAGTTTAGTTGTAAATATACAAGATGTAATTAGCACTTTTATTGCTCTATGTTAAGCTCTTCTGCTGAGAATTTGTCATAACTTTTCATTATTTCCTGGTAGCATTACAGTACTTTTTTGTTGTTGCTTGCTTATCATTTCAGCAGGCAAAGAGGTGAGCAGAAATGCCGCGCAAAAACACGAGACTTAAACGTAACAAATGAGGAATAAAGCAAAACAGTAAAGAATATGAGAGGCAGAAAATACATGGGAAGTGCAGGAAGATTATAGAGAAAACTGTCAAAAAAAACAGTTCAGGACTGGCTTAAATTTTTCTTTTTGGAACGCTCATCAAGGAAGACGATTTTTTGAACGCTCATCAAGTAGAAGGAAAAAGGAGAGATACAAGATGGAATTTTCGTCGATGCTTGTTTCAAAGTATCCGCACTTTGCAGCAATATATGCAAAAAAGACTGAAATCTATTTCATCTTACAACATCCACCATTCATGACGTTTAAATCTTGTGCTTTGAGGCCTTGCACATCTGCTGGCAAAGCCGACAACACGGACGTCTCAATTTCCTATGCTACATTAAATCCATAGCTATTTTTAGCTATTTTAACATCTACTTGAACTCTACTGCGTGTTATGTGATCCTTCAATAATTGGAGCATATTCTGCTACTAAACGCGCATACAGACAAGCCCTACCTCAACACAACTGCAAAAGAACTCACTTATAATGCGCAGGAAACATTTAGTGATTGCCCGGCCAGCATCATTTGTTGCCTCACACGTATATTCTCCTTCATCTTCCAGAGCAAGCTCTCGAATTTTTAGAATACAAACTCCATCTTCATATACCGTTTGATAAACGCTAAAGTATTTGTACAATTTAAAAACAAGAAAAAGTAATAATTAGAAGCATTGCGCATATGCGGCAATACTGCGTTGAAAGCCTGGGTAAGCAGAGCAGACGCTCGTTTCTTTTTGTGATCGATGAAGGCCGTGCAGAGCGAAAGAAAAACTTGGTGATGAAAAGGAGTGAAATCAACTCCTGTGGTACGGAATTTAATTAATACATATGCGAAACTGCTCTGCGAATGGCAAACCGGCAGAAAGAAAGTAGAGGCATTAACTAATTCAAGGTACCAAAATAACTGCGAAACAAATGAAACAAAACAAGAAGTGGCTTGGCCCTGCAAAACAGTCAATTAGAGAGGAAAGGCATATATATTCCGCATCTTGAAGGAAATGCGCAATCTTCAAAAATTTTGAAAGCGCCTTCCGTTGCCGATGTGAGATCTCCAAAATTTCACTTACTCAGAATCCTGGATCACATCGCCATCAACACGCCACCGTATTACTGGTGCTGGCGTACCACTTACAATGCACTTGAACTGGTGTGATTGCCCCGTTGTTGCTGTTGTATCCTCCAGTGTTTTCACGAATCTGGGCACTTGATGCAGCCCTACAAAAAATTAATATTGCTTTCTTTTTTTTTTTGCATTTTTAGATATAATAAAAGCAATGAGCTTACACATGCAGTACAGTAATAAAAGCACACTACAGAGGATTCGTATGCATATGTGTGCATGTGCTTTCTCCAGTTTTTCCGGATGTATCAGTCCAAAATCTATGAAAACTGAGAAGTCTTCGACTGTGATGCGACCGTAATATAAGTTTCTTTGTTTTCTACCCACTATTTCCAATTCAAGCCAATTTTATAATCATAAAGCAAGACATCATGGTCTTTGAGGTTTCGTTTCATCATGTTATGCACAGTGATTTGAAATTAGCCTTCAGCCTCTTCCCCTACTGTTTTTAGCTATAGCCACAAGCCGCCTAACACAAATTGACGCTGTAAACTTTGAAAAAAGCAAGCTATGAGTTTGGTATTTGTGTAATTTACAAGCGCTGGATAAGTATCACAGCAAAGCCCGGTTATATGGCGCATTCACGCAATTTATTCTCACAAATGTGTGTTCGTGTCAATTCCGGAAGAGAGAACATCATCTTGATTTCTAGCAAATTTTAGATAATGTGATTCCCTTTGCAAGTCGCACAATCTGTAGTCAGTTACGCTACCCGGAGATGTTCTCGAAATGCAGCAAAGTTGGACTTTCGAAATAATTGTTTAACACTGGGTAAAGAAACAAACAGTACAGTTACCAGCAGAGGATGATTCAGACGATACGGAAGGCGCTTCCTGAATTGACTGAGCAGATGGTGTTGCACTGACGAAGCCAGAAGCGGCTGCTGGAGGCGGCAAATTTACCGATGCCACCAATTCAACAGTCTAAACGAACTCTGATATTTCTTAAACGAGGTGAGAAACGAAGTGCTTCAGCAAGACGAACAATTTGCATTTTTCCAGCTGTCTCAACGAAGACGTGCTTAACGCAAAAAAAAAAACAAAAGCACGGTCCCACGATTCAGGAATTACAGTTTTGGACAAGGCAAATGCTAACGCACTAGGATCTTTCAAATGATCACGCACTTACTAAAACAACAAGCAGTTGCTAGCAAAGACTCTAAGTCACTTCCAAGAGTGTACGAGAAGTAAGCCAAAATAATGTTTGGGCCCTAATCTGATTTGCATCGGCCTGCAATCAGAACAAATACAACAAATTTTTGTGTCCCAGTGCCACCACCCTCCGTGTTTGGGGGCGACCCTGGGCAGAAAAATGTTGACTGGAATCGGCTACTTTTCTTACTTGATCAGGGCATGTAGCATCCACTTCCACAAAAACTGCCACAACATTGGCTTCGCTTTCTTCAAGTTTCTCGTATTTCCGTTTTCCTCGCGACCAAATTTCCTCCTTTAAAATTTCGAAAACGCATATGTTTGTTGAATTTTCCAACACAACATTAATTTGTTGTTGCCCAGTCAAAACAAAAAAATGTAAATTCTGCTTCATTTACCTGCTTTGAATGGAATCCAGGAGCTGTAAGCATAGCTACGTTTAGCGCAGCTTCGTCTTCGACGAAACTTTCGTATTCGATGACGAGCGCCTGGTGTGCTGTATCGCCCTTCTTTGTGAATGTTACAAATACGGTAGTAATCTAAAATCACAGCGAACAGTACGTGTAAATTAACGCAAATTATTGCCTACTGCGTTTTTATTGTTTGAACTGATCTAAGCTTCTGAATTAATGGCAAATTAGCAAGTACGAAAGCTCGGGAACTGTCAGTAAATAGCAAGCAAAACATTTTCACTTGAGACGCTCAAGTTTTTTGACTGCACATAGTAGTAGAAAAAAGTCACTTCCAAGGGAATCGTGAAACATCTCAATCGAAAGTCAAATCCCTCCACCTCTTTTCGCCCTCACATTCGCTCTAAGTAAGAGGCAGAGGCACTTGGGAAGTAAGTAGCCCGACTAGTAGCAAATGCCAGCAGCAACCACTCGCTGGCAAGACGGTCGATGGCTCCCTTCTTCAAGAGTTGCTTACGAGCAAGCTGATGGAAGTATGACTTCCAAACGTATTATTATAGGAAAGAAGTAAGGGGATATACCTTGAGTTTACTGGCCGCAGCAGCAATTGCAAGTAATTCTGCAACAATACTTCTTGTATCGACGATTGTTGTTGTGTGCTCACCAATATCTTCCGGCCTGCGCACCTCAATACTCGTATGCGCAGCTGCTAGACCACTTTCTGCGGCTTCTTTACGGATCTGCAAAGAGGACTGCACGTTCGGCGATTGCAGTAAAGCCGGCTGATTTTGCGGATGTTACTCTGACTTTCATTCTGGCGCCAAGTTATACAGGCTAAGACAGAACAAGGCTCAGTAAAGCATCAGTGGCGCAGTCACAATGCATTAAAACAATTTAGCAGAGACAAAGCGCAAAATTAATTGAATAAAATCATAATTTGGGAAGAAGAACTGAAAAACCTTTCGTAAGTTCCACGTGATAGCCTCAGTGAATCTTTGCTGCAAACTTTCCAGGATCACAATGCGTTGCTCAGCACGAGCAAGCCGCCTCGAAAATTCCACATGTACAACTTCAGTTCGCAGAGATTGCTGCGGTTGTTGGAATTGCCAAACTGTGGTTGCAAGCCGTTGAACAGGTAATGTCGCTAACAAATGCGCATCCAGGTGCTCGCGCTCAGATTCAACAACTGTTATGACATGGTCGAAGACTGCATCCGGACGTCGTACATCCACATTTGTAACTGCATGCGCTTGGCGCTGCGCCTGGATTAAAACTCAGATGTGCTCAAAACCTAACGGAGACAAATAAGTAGAATTTGAAAGTTTACAAGCTCATAAGCAAGCTATTTTTTCAGCTGGTCCTTGCATCTGGCTCAAAAAGCATTTCACTTGATAAAGACAATGACAGTAATGCTTGTCCAACAGACAATCATTACTTTTCAGTTTACTAATTTATTTACACCACTAAAAATGCCAAGGCTGCTTGGACAATGAGTTTAAGAGTGCTATGTCAAAGATATTGTCGGGATGCGCCCTGAAGCTAGATGCGTCTGTGCCAGACTGTTCGATCTTGAGATGCATACCCAACGCCTGTTCGACATAAAAACCATCCAAGCGGTCATTTACTTTCTCGCGGCCATTACTCATTAATTAGTGACGCCTATCGTTTGTCAGCAAGGCTAACAAGCACCCTCCCTCCGGATTTCTCCAGTAGTCGCAATGTCATCCAGCAAAATCGCTCACTTAAGAGCGACTCTGACTAGTTATATGGTCACCAGGAAAACTGCATTGATTTTAGAACTGTTCTGAAAGTGAATATGCCTTATTAAAATATAGCAGAGACGAAAACTGATTACCTCTGTTACCATTACGCTGCTGATCAGTTCATTAACCTGTTCGACTTCCTTCAGTTCAACTTCGCATACCGCTTTTATCCTCTCTTTGCTCACTTCCAGCTAAAGGATGCGGCTGTTAAAAAAATTACTCCGTCCAAACAAAAAAGAAACTTCAAATTTACGAATCTGTCGCCACTTATATAATACAATGTCTGCAGTATTTCAGCGAAGTGCATTCCGTGAGCGAGTCCTCGCTGGCGATAGAATAAATTGAATTTATGAGAAAATTAACATATCTTCATGCACTGCTGCGTCTAGATCTTTTCAGTAAGAATGACCCTGGCAGCCCGAAAAGTGTAAGGAAACAGCAGAAAGGAATTACTGTGCTTATTAACCTTTTCATCGTAGAGACATCGGACTTCGTGCACAGCTCGCTGAATCGGTTTCTCGAGCACGACAGTGGTCGTTGCATTGACTGTTGACTGATACTGCTGCATGATTCGGCGTTCTTCCACCAGATTTATATCACTTGCCTGTATCACCTCCTCGGTTCTCGTGTATTGTGGCCTCTGCCGCAGTAGGACGGCTCTTTCGCTGATTGGTTGTATAATGCGTGCATCGTGAGCAAAATGTGCGGGCGCACGTTCCACGTTCACGTTGAGAGCAGCATATGCTTCCGGAAGCGCCCCCTCAACAATCCTCTGTCTTTCCATTAAGCTCTGTGCTGATTCTCGTGTTAGAATCACGGAATCATCATGCACTTGACTTGTTGAAGCAATGCATGTGTAGCCCAGTGCAATCGCTTCCGGAAGAAGCATAGCAAAATGATGCTCGAACGATTCTGATGTATGAGTGACATGCACATTTGATGACACTTCCGCTTCTGTTTCTGACAAAGCATACTTCAGTGGAATGCGCATCATTTCGTGCACTGATTCCGTCCGACCTGAAAAGAAGAGCAATTAGAAAGTGATCAGCAAAACTGTATTAAAAGCAAGCCAAATAACAACTCCTCCTGAACTGTGCAACCGCGCGAGTGTTAAGGCAGGCATAATGTCATGACCAAGACTATTTTTCCAAAATTCTATGAGAATGCCAAGGCACACACCGAAAAGTCACGCAATAAAGTAAGACTGTGATTTTTTTCTTTAAAGTTAATACCACTATAATAACTGGCCAACAATAAATGAAAGATATAGGAGGACAGAGCAGACTGTTGCCATCGTCGTACAGAAGGTCGGGGATTCGGCTCCATCGGCGAGCCAACCAATCCTTCTACGATTCGTTCATCCATTTTGATAGTAAATTAGTGCTGGCATAAGCCAGGGGGACAAATGCGCCACTGGTACTTAGCTACTTTTTTGTGAATCCAAGCATCTGTGAATAATTCCTGATATTTGGAAACTTTTGCTCTCTGTAAATTCATTTACTCAGTTTATTTACTTTCCCAGCGGCTGATGAAAACAACAAGCCCATACAACTCTCTCAAACTGTAAGCCTTGTTCTTACCGTAAGCAGCATCAATAACACGCAGGTTGCAGGATAGCACTGCTTTTCCATATTCATTCTCCGCATAGCAGTAATAGATGCCTTCATGAACTTTTTCCACTTTTTTGATAGAAAGTGTAGCGCGACCATTCATGTACTGCAGTTCGATTTGTCTGAAAAAGTGCTTTGCGCGTTTCAGAAAGTCTGTTTCGATGCAGGAGTGGAGTATTCAAGGCCGGAAGAGATGCTCACGCTCATCTGAGTCAAAAAACACCCAAACTGTTACGACAAATTCAAAATTTTGCGCTGCTGTAAAAACTTGTTAGAAAAAAAAGGACTTCGCAAACACTAAGTTGGGAGAAACGGCTAAGAACAAGACGGCTGGTCATTTCAAGTCCCAGATTATAATTTAGTTTAAGAAAAGTGAAAAACTGCTTCCAAGCGGCGGTCAATCATATTTGAGAAAATATGATTTTTGAGATTCCAGCATTATTTTTATTTTATCTCCGTGAAATATCGCTGCAAATTCCAACAAGGAAAGGAGATGGTCAGACAAGAAAACATAAACGACGAGGTTACGACTCCACAGCTTCCAATTCGTAATCCTACGAAACAAGCTGCTCAAATTTTTGGACGTGAAGGATTCAGGACAGCAAATAAAAACATTTTCGTTTTGACGAATTTGTTTTTCTGTATGAAAACAATATTAAAAGAAAATGAATTTAAACCAGCAATTGAATTATAAATTCAGTTAATTTTGCAGCAAAAGACTGATTTGGGCTCAAAAAATCCTAATCGAACAAAATGCTAACTCGGACTGTCCCAGTTTTTGTTCACCAAAATACCATTCAACGTGCGGTTGCGGATAGCCAGTGATATCGGTGCGCAGTACGACACTATCTCCAACCTCCACCGTGTAGCATTCGATGTTGGTTTCAAACCTGGACAAATCGCAAATAATTACTCTGAACGTCTTGATTACACAAAATAAGTTTTGTGATCACTAAAAAGTCGCAATAAATCACTGTAAAATTAAAATCTTCTAAAAATGATTCTTTATTTTTGCCGATCTAGTTCAAATTAAACCCTGGCCGGGTCATTGGCACTGTCATCCACACAGAAAACTTAATGAGCTAACTCAAAGCATTTGCTCTTATTTAGGAATGGTAGCGTAAAAATAACTTTAAAATTTGGGTAAAACATGGGCAACTTAAAATTGTGGGTAGCCGAGAAGGTAATTTCCAACAAACGGAATTTCCCTTGATATGTTGCTAAACTGCTTTAGACAATGACAAATACATCAGAAAGGAAGGATAACAGAATGCAAGGGACGACAAAAGAAATATTCAGAAAAGTGGAAAGTCAAATTCTGACGGTGATTGCAATTTTTTGAATTCGCAAAACCATCACTGTAATACATTTGAATGGTTTCGGCCACGGGCAGTTTCGCATGTCCAGAAAAATTAGAGTTTATGTTTCAGTATAAAGTTTGAAGTGTAAGAATGAATATGTTGTACCTCGGAGGACATGGATATTGTTCTACAATTGATTCATATTCTTCTTCTTCACTCGAATACTCTTCCAGCTTTAAGCGCTTCAGCGCAACAGTTATTGCTTCATCGATGACTACTTTGGCGACCAATTTACTGGCAACGATTTCCGCAACCTTCACCAGCAGTTTATATTCCTCTGTAACAGCAACGTTTCTTTTTTCAGTCATTTTCAGTTCCCTTCTAATTTCTCACAAGACCATCCATGCAGTAATTTTAAAGTCTTTGGATGAATGAAATGCGCGATATTTGCCACGAGTTCCTTCTGCCATGGAGAATTTATTCTCTGTTTGGAAACACGTCCTATTAGTTCGCATGCACACCACCTCCTCGGGTGAATTCTGGGTAAGCCTTTCTCTTTCAACAAATACCACATGATTTGTTAGGTTTTCAGTCATTTTGTTTTCCAAGTAACATATTTCGCCTCAAGTCATTACAGGATTTTATCAATTATCAAGGATTTTTTAGACAAACTCTTTTTCGCGTATAACATGTGAAGAAGTCAACAGCAAATACTATGTGTGTAGTTGAATATGGCCGATCACCGGATTTCAGGCTAGTGCTGGCCGCAGTAAGCAGCAAATTTAGACACCAGATAAGTCAAAGCACAATCCGTCGCTCGTGTATATCTATTTGTTATGCATTCACAAGTAGTAGCAAAACGCACGAATGCATCGGCTGCCCGATGTACGTCGTTATTAAATTTGAAGCAGAAAATTAAACAAGCTCTTTCACCACAATGGTATCAGCTTGTTGTGTTAGAGGGGATGTGCTTCTCGAATGCAAAAATCCAGGAAACGTGAAGAGTATGTCCCAACCTGGGATGGAAATAAAAAAATCTAAAAATAACGAATGAGATTTCTGGCAAACCTTCGCTCTTTCTCAGTTCAGCTGTATGGCTGTATACTTCGTGACTGCCACTCACTTCAGGTGCTGTTATGACCTTAACTGTTGTGTCCGTATACTCCTAAAATATATATTATTGCATCTGGTGCGCAATATTGCTTTGATGGGGTCATTTAACTCGTGTGAATTCTCATCCATTTGATGACCGCAACCGTTTTCTGAGGAAAAAAGCCACGTAGTGGGCTGAGGCATAAGTCGCCTAGTCCCACGAAACAGTGCTGGACGAATGTTCAGCGCTGCTGATTCTGCGCAGATGCTTATTACTCAGGCCGGCTGCAATTCACAATTTATCTCTCCAGCTAGCAGTTTTTATGCGTTTTTTGCAGCAATGCAATGCAAACCCAGGCTGGAACGCACCAGGCGGGCCGGT